AAAGGGTCTTTAACCCGAAAATATTTAAGAAATATTAATTATACTTTTTTCTTGGATTAATTTTTTTTGTTTTTCCCCCTACATTCATTTATAAAAACAAATTAAATTTTTCTTGTTATTTGGCTAATCACAATATTTGGCAGCTGTATGGGATGGGGAACACTTATCAAAATTTTTTCCTACTGATTCAGGAGTTAAATTCCGATTCTGTTCTCACTTTATATAGACGACGTGGTTACACATCTATTTGGAGCCGTATTTATAAATGGTCTAAATATTAAAGCTCGTTTGTATGCAGATGACATCGTTGTCCTAGCAGAAAGTTCCGATTGTTTACAGATTATGTTAAACGAGCAACACAGTTACTGTAAGCTATGAGGGCTAACAGTTAATATTGAGAACTCAAAAGCGCTAGTCTTTAAAAAGCATCACAGGCGACACAGATAACTTAATTTTGACTTAACCAACAACAATTACTTTGTCGAACGTTTCAGTGCTGAAGCGATTGGACAAATTTTCAAAACTCGAAGAGAACTGTTAAACCTCAATTGGGCTCCATATATGAACTCATCAGATCCGAGATGCACACTATGCAATACTGGAGAAAAGGAAGATGTAATACATTTTCTTAGTAAATGCCCAATTTTGATGAACCTAAGGGTACATTATTATGGAAAACAAACGTTAGATATGAACGAGCTAATGAGGCTACTAAATGGTGAAAAGTGGCATATGTTATCGATCTATGTGAAAACGGAAATTAGTTATAGAGAAAATATTATATTAGAAGCATTTTAACACTCATAGGCTGAAATTCTAAATGTGTCACTTATATGACAGTTACTGCAATGAAGAAAAAGCAACAAACACAAATCCAAATTTCCGATTGACGACGAAAGCCATAATCGTATAAGGAAAAATTAGAAACTATTTATGTCAATTAAGTTAGGTTTTAATTATTTTTAGTATAATTATTTATAATATTTAAGTTTTGTATTTTATAAATTATTGAAAATGTGTACAATTAATTTTGTAAATGTAAATATAACCTATATATAATAAAAAAAAGAATAGTACTACTACAATTTTTGGTATAGTGCAATGTAATATGTTAAAAAACAAACAATTACAGCGAATTGTAAGGTCATCATATAACATATACATCAAAAATAACATTAATAGACGATTATATCAAGTACTTTATTCTTTAATAGTCAGTTTAGTTCAATAAAATACGTTGAAGTTGGCATTCCACAATAGCCGTTTAAGCAGATCTTTCGATTTATGATGATAAACGAAACGAAAAATTTTGTTTTTGTTCTTATTAATTTCATCCTTAACACAATTGAATTTGTTTTGATACGTATCAATTAGGTTAAAAGCAAAATACAGCCTTGCGTTTAATAGTGATGATTATAATAGTAGGATTTGGCTAGAATTATATTTATCATAATTCAAATTGCAACACTATTTATTATTTATTATTATAAATGACATATAATGATACAAGCTTCAGTTTGAATCTGCAATAGCATGTCTAATGAATGTATTGCAAACGCCTTTAGAGAATTCATATATCCTTTTCACACTTTAGGTATTGAAAGTGTAAAATCGATCGTAATTGGTGATTAGATTATCGTTTATTCTAAGCGATAACACAGTGAAATAAAAATTCATAAGTTGGCGCATTATGTATCGTATAAAAAAGGACGATTTTTTTAGTAGAAAGGCTTTTGATCAATTTCTTTTATAAGACAATATTTTTTTTTTCTTAATAGAATTTTTCAATGGATTTCCGCATGTTCTTAATGTCAAAATTTACTCTGTCATATTGGCGTTTATAATTTGTTTCGCAAACTTCAACAATATCATACATTTCTAAGACGACAAGAAAAGGTTTGTCTAAAATAATATTTAACGAAAGAAATTATGGAATAGAAAAGGTAAATTGACATAAAGTACTTTAAAAGTCGATATTTATTAATCAAAAAGTGGATACTGTCTGTTCACATAATCAGTTTAAATGTGTACTATCTTTAACGTAAACAAAAAAAGCCAGAGTTGGAAAGATATAGTCTTTAACCAAGATAATCCGAAACCTCATTCAAGTTTGGTAATTCACCTACAGTTTTTACAGATTAAATAGAATGTATGAATTCACCCACCACAAACTTTATATTTTATACTTTCGGAATGTCATACATTTTCCGCTATCTTAAAAATATTTATGATAGCAAAACCTTTTCTTCAAATAAGATTGTCAGAAAATGTTTGAATCAGTTTTTGTAAATAAAGATCGACTTTTCAAAATAAGTTGGAGCATGGAGCCATATGTTTACCAGAAATTAGGTGAAATTGAAACCAAATAGATTATAACAAAAAATAAAACACTCAAATTTATTTTTAAATAAGTCAATATATTTTTTAAGCAAACATCATTTTAACTTATAGGTTAAGAGTTGAAACGTCTCTTATGATATTTGTTAATTTCATTTAAAGTTCCAGGGAGAAAACTAATTAAACACATTTATTGATGAAGTGTGTTAAAATGTCGGTTATGCCAAAACCTAAAACCTAACAGTTTTATTATTTTCATAAACATAATTGAGAGATTAATAAAGATATTTAAAATAAATACTAATGTATTGTTCAATGAAAGAAATTTTTAATGGAAAATTTATACAAATAATAAGATTATAAATTGTTTTACTTTGTGCCTATAGTAAATATTATAATAAAAAAAATATATATTGTATTTTAAACATTAATAAACTCATACATCATTATCACATAAGAAGCCAAAAATAACCTTAGCATTAAAATAAGTAAAATTTTCCAGTATAAATATAATTTTAGAAAATTACTTAATAAGCTGATATTTAATTGAAAGATCAAAATACAATCTTAATACTTAGTTTTATAAAAATGTTTCAACATTAATGATCAACTGCAACTATCTGGTGTTTTTTATAGCTTAATAGAACTATCCATTTCGATAACTATGGTTTGACAGCTGTATTGATATTTCTGTTCATTAAGGTTTCACGCTAGAATAACTCATCCAAATTATAGAAATTTACTTTGAAAAAAATAAGTCTGTTCGGGAAGTTCATATCAAAGAATTAAGTTTAGTGATGAAGGTCATACGGCCAAATTTATTGCAAAAAATAGCCAAAAATTGGACTGATCGAATGTAACTCCTAGCCACGGCGGACATATGCCGGAAATCATATGCAAAATATAAATCTCATAAAATTATCTACCAGATTAGAATAAAAAAATTTTATTCCAAAAATATTTATGTCTTGTATTATCATTTTAAGTTCTCATACAGCTAAATAACACCCGATATTATCTATTGTCAAAAGGAAAAAATTATGTCAAAATCATTTCCGGATTGTATTCCTATATTATATTAGAAAGGCCTTAATACTTAAATTGCGAGTCTAATTTAGGACTGTAAACGTTTTTATTATAATAAAGAAAATGTAGTGCCGATTAAATTCCGTATTATGTTGAAGAACATAATAAAATTTTGTCAGTCTCAAAATCTTGTACCAAAGTTAAGAAAATAAGAAAGGATTGATTAGTCTACCATGATTGGTTTTAATATCTAATGTAATTCTAATAATATTAGAGAAACTTAATATTGTAACGTTTTTATTTAAAAGGAAAAATCCGTGTGTGGGTTTAAGAACTTTCCAATTTTGTCAAGTCTATACTAAAATTGAAAAAATTAAAAATGGGTTATCATTTCACATTTGCTTTCTACATGCTTGGTGTTTGATCGATGTAACTATAATACTATTAAAAATTTTTATTATAAAAATAACAGTTTATTTTTCTACTGTAATACTTTTGTTTTAATTGTCAGAATTGTTATAAGTAGTGTATGATTTGTAGAATATACTAAAATTTTATCAGTTTCCTATTAAAAATATAAGGTGGTTTTATTTTGCATTTTAAGTAAAAAAAAAATTATCCTGTGAAGTATAGTCTTCACTTGATAAGTAAAGGAGATATATCTCCCTGATAAGGAGATGGAAAAGAATTGAAAGTTATCCTTCTACTATAAGAAAGAACTAAAATATGAAATTGGCAGTCTTTATCATCTTGATTTCATCATGGACAAAAAAGAATAAAATCTACTACAACACATAAGTTCTGATATTTAACAGTTTACCAAAATTAGCGCTTAATCTGGAGTGACTTCCAGATTTAAAATAGATATCTTATTAACATTAATAACATTATTTTGAAGTTATTGTAATATATAAAGAATAATAAAATTATTTTAATGTGATGAGAAAAGTGTGTCTATATAAATTTATTATAAAATTTAATTGTATATATATTTAAAGAATAAATTTTCATAAAATTTATTCTTAACATCATCTATGTTCGAATGTGTTATTGAAAAATAAGTACAACAATTTTAAAATTGAAAACATACTAGTTTTTAAAGATTACTTTAAAGATTTTCCTTATCTTTTAGTTTAAGTTGTTCTAACTAATTTACAAGTAAGAAAATAATTAAGATTAATACTAGAGATTTCACTATAAATTTTAGTGAATTTCCAGTTATATAAACGAAAGTATTATGCTAGGTTTAACACTTTTCAAAGCTGCTTTTGTATTTAGTGAAGAAACAATTAAAATTGGTAATTATAGTTTAATGTTAATTTATTTAAAAAAAAGACTTTTTAAACTAACTCTGAATTAAAATCTTTAAACAAAGTAATTTGAAGTTTAAATTAAAAAAAAAAATTGATAGCAGGTTGTATATACACCATTCTGATCTATAAAAATTTAAAATTATATTATGTTATTTACTATTATTGCCGTCGGCTAATCTGTGCGCACATAAAATAGATATTAAATTAAAGTACTGCAGTCTTATGCTAAATTTGTTATATACACATAATTATTTTTATTTATACTATATATATAACAGATCGAGTAGCCTTTAAGACTTTTCTATATAAAATATTGTAACTCACCTCGCTTATCCCTTGGTATATTATTTAGATTCGCATTTGAGACGTTCCACTTAACACTTGAGTGTCCACTGCTAATAATACTGCTGCTGTTGGTTTTGTTAACATTATTATTATTGTTGTTGATATCCGAATCAACAGTTACCATGGACAATAAGAGTACAAAGACCGATAAACGATACATTATATGTCGAACATGTAAACAATCAATTAAAAATGTTTCTTTTTAATAATGAGCACTTAACTAAAAGCTTCTCAACTACTTCAATGCTGCCCAAAATAAAAATCCAAACTGATGAAAATTAAAAAACTTCTTATCACTGCTGCTTTGGTATGATGTCAAAATTTGTTTAAGCAGAGAAAGCACTAGCCGCTACCAGCGTCCAACACATTTCATCCATTAATTCTGTAGTAGTAAGACGCTTATATCAAACTCTTACTAACGGAAAAATGCTAAGAAATGGGAGCAATGCACTCAGCTTCCAAGTATTTAATTTAAAAACAATAATATCAGCTCAGTTTGTAGTTTTACGTTCCATACCAACAGACCTGTTGTTCAGTATTATGCCAATGCAGCGCCACTATCACTCTCGTTTACCAAAGTCAAGTTGATATGTGATATCAAATTCGCTTTCTAAATGCTTCAATATCTATTTTGCGCCCCCTCGAATCAAACGAACCGAATTAAATTCAAAATGAATTTTACACAGCACAATAAAAGTTGGTCCAGCTAAACTCCGGCTCAGGTGAAATTGTCATCGTCACTCCACAATTTGTTAGTGTCGCGTCCGACGCGCACGATTCGGTAACATTTGCGTTTGAGCGTTAAAAATTGAATTGCATTCCTCAGCGAAAAAAAGAGTTCATCCAAAAACGTGACCGCTCTCGTTAAAAAGAAGACTTTAACATGAAACTTAATTTTCACGCTCTAAGCGCTCAGTGTGGCTTAGAAAATTTTTATTTCTGCCTCTACGCCTGGATGCTGTAAATCTTGTACACATTCGGTTATGGCCTTCTGAACAGTGCACACCTATGTAACGAACCGTAGCCACGTTTTATATTTATTTTGACGCTTATTTTTGCTTGTGTTTACTTGAAAGATAAAACCGTTTATGCGGCTTACGAATGAAAAGAGCTCTTAGCTCAACTGAAATCTTACAAACTAAAGCGTTCGTACGCTACTAAAATGTGTTGCAATCAAGTCAACTCTCTGAGCTTGAGCCCACTCAATAAGATTGAAATACACGTTTGGCATTTCATCCGATATTGCACGTCTTTTTCTCTTCGCTTATGAACAACGCGGTACGAGAGAAAAACTGGCTTAGTAGGATTTTAATTTATTTTATGTTTTAATTTTTTTAATTTCTTGCAAATATTTTCACATTAACTTGTATATTAAATTAACTGCAATTTTACAATTATTTCCGCAAATCTTCTATTCTACCCAGGTACTACCTACATTTGTACTCTTCCATATTATTATATCAGAGTACATTCTTATAATTTGATTCGGTAAGATGTCAACATTATAACCATAAAATTGAAATCGATTATAAATAAAATAGTAGAACCAATTCAGTAAAAAATTATGGAGAACAGAAGAACTAGGTCATTCAAAAAAACACCTGATTGAAAATAATTGCGAATAAAAAATTAGTAAAGCTATCAATATGGAAAGATATAAAAACTATACGTATGTTAAAAAAAATTAACATTTAACTTCTAAACATTAATTTTTTGTTGCTGTAGTTAAATTTTCAAATTAGAGTTACAATATTAAATACAACATTAAAGCTGCCATTGTATTTGCCGATGACATCAACTTAATTGGAAGATCAGTGATTAAAATGAAAAATACATTTTTGAAAAACAGTGCCGAGTACGAGGGTTACAATTTATATTTTAAGCCTAATAATGAAAACATTCTAACTTGTTGAAAAATGCTTTATGTTTTCTCGAAGTATGCTCCCTGATGATTAATACACCTTTGCATGCGTTCGAACCATTTATCAAAACATTTTTTTTCAATCTTTTTCAGAGACCTCCAAAACATCGTTTTTAACAGCGACTTCTTACACCGACAAAAATCGTTGTCCACACAACGAGAAACGTTCGGAAACACGAAGATCATTGCTTGCCAAATTAGGACTGTATGGCGGATGATCCATCGATTCGATTCAATTTGAATGTTCAAATAGACGGTTGTTAGACGAGACGTGTGAGCACTCGAATTGTTTTGTTGAAGATGGAGAATGATCTGACGATGCTTGTTTCACTGAAGACTACCGGAAAACAAATGGTTATATACCATTCGGAATAGACCGTTTTACGTTCCTGTAATGATATACTGGTCGTAGTTGCCTCATGACCAGGTTTCCCAAAAAAACAACAAAACTTTTATTGGATTTGATTCATCTTGAAACGCCCATGCAGTCGACTATTGTTTACGTTCCGGCTCATAAGCATACTTTCACGATTCAACACATGGTACAATCTTATATACGCCTTTTGGAGCACCGCCATCGTACTTCTTGACCATTTGTGATCGAACTGCGGTCACGATTAAAGTCATTGTACCAGCGGCAAAAAATCACTGTAAATATCACAAATAACGCTCTTTTGCTAAAAAATCGAAGGTAGATCATATTTAATAATATCAAACTTTCATATGGAAACGTCAGATGACACCTGACAACAATCAATGTTGCCAAGGTACAATATGGATAGTGACTCTCGTATGATGTCTACATTGCCTCGAGCAAAAAGAATATATATATATTTATTTATACAAGTACATGTTTTTTGTTAAAGAAAATAAATTATTAAATTTTACTTTAATAAAATCATATATTTAAAAGAAAGAAATATATAACAATAAAATATTGATAATCAAAAAGTACAAAATAACCACAAATTGTTAACTGCAAATATTTTGTTACTTTTAAATGCTAATAAAAATTTGTATTTTTAATATTTTTCCAGGTCGCAGGAAAACCCGTAGGGGTAACGCACCTGTAGAGCAGATGCTGCCATGAAAATTGATTTGACATCAACTCCAACATATTTTTGTCAAGAAGTACTGAATACACAGATGTGATTATTCACAAATATACGTATATCTATATTTACAACTCATTGCGCTTATAAGAATGAATTCATATAACAATAAAACATTTTTACATTTTGATGAAAGATTTTAAATCAAGATAAAAATAAGTATCTAAAGAATTGAAAATATGAATATGCAAGATAATTATCCGCCCAATACTTATCAATTTATAAAATAAAACCTAAAGCAGACTGAATCCAACTATTTCATACTAGAATTGTTGATATTACTGGTTCTGTTGAAGCAGGAGAGTAATAAATAAAAACAAATAGTAAGCTTCTAGTTTTGTTACAAGATACGAATTGAAATAAAATCTCTGGAATATGAAATTATAGGATATCACAGAAAATTATATGTACTAACTATGTAACAATATGTAACCCACACCTTAAATAATAATGCGTAAATGAAAGAAAGTGCGACCCCGTAAACTATAGGTAGAATTTGAGACATTTTAGGAGAATCACTGAAAAATACTTGCAAAAAACCGCGAGAGTTGAAAAAGTACTTAGGCTACAATGCCACAAAGGACGAAGAAGACATTAATTAAATGTCTTAACTATAGTCGTATACACTATACTTTTACTAAAAAAATACTATGTGTAGAGGGGAATGGGAGTAGCGCCCTATATTTTCTGTTGGCTATACTCATGAATCTATAATAATAATAACATAAAATTGAATAATATAAATAATAATTACAATAATATAAACAACAATAATAATAATAATAAAACTTAATGAAATAGTTTACTAAATGTTATTCTCATCCACTTAAAAAAATTATTTTTTCCCAAAAATTACAACGGTATAGAACTAATACCAAAGCTCTAAAAAATTTATCACACTACAAAATTACCAAAAAAGTAAAGATCAGAAACCACAGATTATTGATTTGTTTTTGACCAGACTTCAAAAACTTGGCATAATACCTATATGCCTAACGGACTTAATGACGTATTTTGGCAAAATAACCTTAATAATCGTAAAAGAGACTTAAAAAAAAGTTCCATGGTACATTAGGACGAATGACATCCTCAGGGACATCAAGATTGATCCCATCAAAAAATACATAAAGGATAGAGGCCTGAAATTATTTGTGAAAACTGATAGACTTACCAACACCGCGTTATCAAATCTCAAAATGGTTACAGGCTCCTCGGGGAGGTATGCAGATCTGAGGTCAATTATTGCTTAGTCTGATGAAGTGATAAACAATAATCTAGTCAAGGTGTGGAGAGGGGTTTTGAAGAAACCTCGAGTTAAAAAAGAGTATAAGTGCTTGAATGCACTAGCTCGAAACAGCATCAACATAATTAGTTACAAATATAAAGAATAATACTTAAAGATATCAATTATCGAGTGATACATTAAAGACAAATTGAAATCTATTAAACAGTATTAAGCTCCGAAGTCTATATAAGTAAGATAATTTGTATATATGTAAATTATACTTAGATATTATAAATTTATTCTAACTAAATTTATATATTTAATATTCATGCACGACGCAATAAATTATTAGAGAATTCGATGGAGAGCGCTTATAGAGTTCTGCCACATCTCTGACAAGTAGAATTTTGAAACTAAATTTACTATAAAAAATTGAGCAGTATGAAGAAATTATCGACAAGATGGATATCGCATTTGTTCACTATAGGCTATAAGCACGATTTCATAATGATTTCAAAAAAATATTTCAAAAAGCTTCAATGTACGCCTGCTGAATTTTTCACTCTACACACATATGAGATGCAGAAGCAATCGAAACAATATATAATATATAGAATTTCAGAATTTACTCCTATGAAACATTCTATTCCGAAATAATAGTATTAATAGTAGAAGCAATAATATTACCTGAAGTAAATTATTGTGATAAAGGCACAATAATGGTCTTCTACAAGCTAAGGACAACTAAATAATGACACAGGCTTATTAAGACATGTTTGAAAAATGGTATTTATTTAAAAATTTTAAAATGATAAAAAAATAAATTAATAAGAAATTAATTAAAACAGTAAAATTGAAAATGTTAAAAAAAATTAAAAAAATAATTGGTAAAAAATAATGAACTATCAATACTCAGCTCACGAATACTGATATCTCTAAAATTGATCGAAATGGAATCCTAAAAAATGAGATAACATAACGTCTACTGTAAATTCAAATAATAAGCATTTTCCATAAAAAATATTAAGGCAATACACATCAAGTAACTCTTATTTTGCAACAAATGTTGCCTTTTGGTAAAAGTAAAAGCAGCAAAATTGCAGAGATAAATGTAAAAAAATTGAGGAAATAATTGCTAATTGTTGTATTATATATATAACAAATATTTTTATAATAGATCAACTTTTATCAAAATATCTTTAAACCCACTAAACTGAATTTGCAATGATGCAATATATTCGAATTTTTTGCAAAATAGTATATGAATCTGTGGCTTTTGAAAAAGCTGTTTTAAAATGTTACAAAATAATATGGTAAGGAGATTTGTGTTAAATATCTGTATATAAGTCTATTAATATATCCATTTAGTATCATTTTAATTTGTATATAAATTATAAGTATTGTGGGAAAATAATTGTGTGAGCATGTAAAACCTCAAAACATATTTTAACAAGCATTCCTGTTTCCCTAAAATGGTTTTAATGTAGATTAAATCATTAAATAAAGTTATTTAATAAAATTCCATTTTTACTTACTTAAATAAATTAATAGAGGATTCAATGATTAATTAGTTGATCAGTTACTTTAAGTAAAATACATCAGATAACACTTACAAATTTTATTGTCTGTACCTGTATATTAGTGATGTCATATTTGCACTAATCCATATAAGTTTAAATTGATTTAGATTATAAACACCAAACATTAGTAAAAACTAGATATTTATTGCCAATTTTGGACTTTTTGTTTAGAAAGTAGCTATACTTTATTATTACCCAAGTCATTATAGAGCGTTAGAACTTTTAATTAGCAATGATACCTAACATCAACTTACTAAACTCATATTAGTTAAAAATTTTTTTAACATATTTATAAAATATCATAAATAAAATATTATTTTAAATTATAATTAAAAAAATATTTAAATATTTTAATTAAAACAAATATTTGCAA